TTTTGGTTTTTTTGTTTTTAACCAAAGTGGGGCTCGTGTTCACCCAAAGCAGGGCTGGAGCTCACCGGAAGCAAGGCTTCTGTTTTATCCAAATTGGGCCTCAAGCTCATGAACCACGAGATCATATCCTGAAATGAAGTCACATGCTTAACCGACTGAACCACCCAGGTGCCCCAGGGTCATTTTCGTTTGCCTCCCACCTGCCCCATGGTTTTCCTTTATAGTGACTTAGGTTCTTAGATGTTTCTATTCTCAGATCTCAAATCACCAAAATTTTTTTTTTTTCCGATCAGATACTTATATTTTATCAATTTATTTTTTATTAATCTACAATGACACTTGTCCTATTATCACTTAAATGCATAATAAATTATTTTCAGCATATTTCTGGTTGTAAGAAGAGAGGATCTTTGCCTACTTAGAGATGTCTGGAAATTAAAAAGTGTGTTGAGACGGGAACTAGTGTTGCCCTTGATCACAGAGGACAGGACAAAAATGGTGCTGGAGCCTTGCCTCTTTTTTGTTTCTCCCTTACATTTCTCCTGACTTATTTTTCACAGTTATGGAACCTGTTATGGAGTAGGTGGCTGGCCCCAGCTCCGTGACTCTCGATTTTTAATGCGTAGTTACCCACACAAAGCAGACCGAAGCATTTAGAAATGTTTCAAAACTCTCCCTCAACATTAGCTATAGGCATTTAAAATACCGGTCTGGATTTAGCCACTCTCAAATGTGAGGGATTCCTGGACACGGGAGCAGCCTGGAGTCCCTGTTTCCAAGGGCCTCTAGTCCTGGTGCCCTCTGGTCCCTAATTTCTGCTAACGGTGGGTTTTCTATCCACCCTGCTCTTTCAGAACGGCTCAAGCTATTTCATGTCAATTTCCAGGACCCATTCAACTGCTTCCCCGTCAGCACAGACCTCTTAGAAGGGAAAATGACTGATATGCATTCTAAACTAACATCAAGGAAGAGTATCCAAGAGAAATGATTTTCTCGTGGAGAACCACTGAATAGATTTTATGGTAGCTTTACTTTCTGTGGCTTCAAAGGTTTCTAAATGAAAATCTATTATTTGTATATGTATTGATAAAACCGCTTTAAAAAACAGAACCAAGTGCAGTAATCATTTTCAACTGGAGCATACAGCACAATTTTATTTTTATTTCTTTTTTAATTTTTTTGACAAAATTATTTTGAGAGAGCCTGTGAATGAGCATGAGCGGGGAGGGGCAGAGAGAAAGAGGAAGAGAGAGAATCCCAAGCAGGCTCCGTGCTGTCAGCATCGAACCTGGCATCCTGCTGCATCCCACAACCCTGAGATCATGACCTGAGCCAAAATTAAGAGTCAGAAGCTTAACCAACTGAGCCACCCAGGTGCCCTGAAAAAGTACAATTTTAGAGATAACAGAGGCATGGCTTTGCCACTGACTTTAGTAAGACCTGCTTAGAGCATGTATTTTTATACCTGTACACTTCATTTATAGGTTAAATGAGATTTAGAGGTTAGCAAATGATGCTTACATCAAGGATAGTGCTTTTTGAAGTGATCAGGGAAGAACTGGGGCAGTGTTTTCATTATACTCTACCTTGATAAGTAAGTCTTAGAATCTCTTTGTTAAAAATTGAAAAAGGCAAATTGAATTACTCCTGAGGTCAATTTTTAAATGAAGGTTAATGGCTATGTTAATTGAAATGTCTGTTAATTCATCCAAAACCAAGGAAGGAATGAAGGAATTTTAAAATAATATAAAAACATGTAAAATACCATAGAAAACTGCTAGATAAACAGTCTACATATTCAATGCAATCCCTATCAAAATAACACCAGCATTCTTCACAGAGCTAGAACAAACAATCCTAAATTTGTACGGAACCAGAAAAGACCCCGAATAGCCAAAGCAATCTTGAAAAAGAAAATCAAAGCCGGGGGCATCACCGTTCCGGGCTTCAAGATGCATTACAAAGCTGTAATCATCAAGACAATATGGTAATGGCACAAGAACAGACACTCAGATCAATGCAACAGACTAGAGAACCCAGAAATGGACCCACAAGCATATGGCCAACTAATCTTTGACAAAGCAGGAAAGAATATCCAGTGAAATAAAGACAGTCTCTTCAGCAAATGGTGCTGGGAAAACTGGACAGCGACATGCAGAAAAATGAACCTGGACCACTTTCTTACACCATACACAAAAATAAACTCAAAGTGGATAAAAAGACCTAAACGTAAGACAGGAAGCCATCAAAATCCTAGAAGAGAAAGCAGGCAAAAAACCTCTTTGACTTTGGCCACAGCAACTTTTTACTCAACATGTCTCTGGAGGCAAGGGAAACAAATGCAAAAATCAACTATTGGGACCTCATCAAAATAAAAACCTTCTGCACAGCGAAGGAAACAATCAGCAAAACTAAAAGGCAACCGACAGAATGGGAGAAGTATTTGCAAACGGCATGTAAGATAAAGGGTGAGTATCCAAAATCTATAAGAAAGTTATCAAACTCAACAACCAAAAAACAAATGATCCAGTGAAGAAATGGGCAAAAGACATGAACAGACATTTCTCCAAAGAAGACTTCCAGATGGCTAACGGACACATGAAAAAATGCTCAACGTCACTCATCATCAAGGAAATACAAATTAAAACCACAATGAGATACCACCTCACACCTGTCAGAATGGCTAACATGAACAACTCAGGCAACAACAGGTGTTGGCAAGGATGCAGAGAAAGAGGATCTGTTTTGGGTTGCTGGTGGGAATGCAAGCTGGTGCAGCCACTCTGGAAAACAGTATGGAGGTTCCTCAAAAATTAAAAAAAAAGAACTACCCTATGACCCAGCAATTGCACTATTAGGTATTTATCCAAGGGATACAGGTATGCTGTTTCGAAGGGACACACGCACCCCCATGTTTATAGCAGCACTATCGACAATAGCCAAGGTATGATAAGAGCCCAAATGTCCATCGATGGATGAATGGATAAAGGAGATGTGGTACATATATACACAATGGAGTATTACTTGGCAATCAAAAAGAATGAAATCTTGCCATTTGCAACTACGTGGATGGAACTGGAGGGTATTATGCCAAGTGAAATTAGAGAAAGATAAATATCACATGACTTCACTCATATGAGGAATTTAAGATACAAACAGATGAACATAGGGAAGGGAAGCAAAAATGATATAAAAACAGGGAGGAGGACAAAACAGAAGAGACTCTTAAATATGGAGAGCAGAGGGTAGCTGGAGAGGTTGTGAGACGGGGGATGGGCTAAGTGGGTAACAGGCACTAAGGAATCTACTCCTGAAATCATTGTTGCACTATATGCTAACTAACTTGGATGTAAATTTAAAAAATGAATAAATGAATTAAAAAATAAATGTTAAAAATTTTAAAAATAATATGAAAGGAAGTGTCCATGCTGATGTTATTCTGAACTAGAATGGAATTTCTATGCCAATTAAGAGGTACATCTTTCTTATTCAGGATTTTTATCTCTATAATTTTTTGAAATTTATTTTTTAAGTTCAAGTTAGTTTACGTAAGTGTAGTATTGGTTTCAGGGTAGAATGCAGTGATTCATATATGCAGTGACACATATAACACCCTCATCCCAGTAAGTGCCTTCCTCAATGCCCATCACCCATTTAACGCATCCCCCCACCCACCCCTCCCTCCAGCAACCCTCAGTCTGTTCTCTAAGAATTTCTTATGGTTTGCCTCCCTCTCTGTTTTTATTTTATTTTTCCTTCCCTTCCCCTATGTTCGTCTGTTGTGCTTCTTAAATTCCACATACGAGAGAAATCGTATATGTCTTTAACGGACTTATTTCACTTAGTGTAATACATTCTAGCTCCATCCACGTTGTTGCAAATGGCAAGTTTTCATTCTTTTTCATCTCACCTCTATAATTTTTAATAAAAGTATCGAAAGAGTTTTCAAAAATTCATTATACTCTTAAAGCTTCTTTCAGTTCCCGATTTGCGTATAATTTGCGTACCTGTCCACAGTTTCTAATACACAGGTTATTCATTCCTTTATTTTTTACTGCATAAGCAGACTTGGACCAGTGAATTAAAAATGCATAACCACATTGTTTGTGAGAGGTTTATCTCATTTATGAATTCCCAACTAACCTTTGTTTCCCCACAGAAGATGACATTCCTGTGTGATAATCATGGATTTATTATTTCATCAAATACCCATCAAGCACCTTCTTTATGTAAGGTTGTGTCCTAAGCAAGTTCAGGTAGCAATAGCTGGGCAAGGTAACAGTGGAAAGAGCTGTAGCTTCGAATCAAATAGGAAAGGCTTTATTGCAGAGGTTATTTTTGAGCAAAGACTTGAAGATGGGGAAAGAGACATGTATCTATGGTGAAAAAAAAATTCTAGACAGTGGGCCAAACACACAGACCTAGAGCAGGAGCATCCCTGGAGGTTTGAGGAACAGCAGAGGCCAGTGGGACATGACATGGAAATAGCCAGGGGGTGAATAATAGGAGATGAGATCAGCGAAGTAATAGGAGCTGAGTGGTTAAGATCCTTTTTGACCTTGGAAATCGTAAATTATCTGAAATAGGAAGCCACCGGAGAGTGTTGAGCACAGAGTGGCGTCATCTGACCCCAGAGGATGCTGAGATCAGATGGTAGTGGTGCAGATGCTGAAGAGTCAAGGGACTGGATGTTTTGAAATTTGAGCCAATAGGGTTTGTGGTTGCATTTGATGTGTGAGGCAAAGGAATCAAGATTGACTCCTAGGCTTGGGCTTAACTCTAGGGAGCATGTTGGGTCTTTGAGATGCTTCAGTGAGGATGTTGAGGCATTTGGAGAGCTGCACTTGGGGTTTAGAGAAGAAATACAGACAGGAGGGATACATTTGGCAACGGTCAACAGACAGATGGTATTTAAGTGCTGGAACGGAGGAGATAACCAAGAGACCGAGTGTAGACATGCAGGGAAAACAAAAGTTCTGGGCCGTGGGCACTCTAACATCTAGAGGAACGGGATGTGAAGAGAAACTAGCAAAGCCGACCGAAAGGAATGATTGGTGAGGGAGAACAAAAATCAAAGAATGTGGAATGCTCCAAGTCAAGGAGGGGAAAAAGTTTTCCAAGGAGGTGACAAGGACTCAGACATGTTGAATGCTGTTGATAGGTCAATTTCGATAAGAGCCAAGAAAGGACTTAAAGATTTAGCCACAGGGAGGGTACTGGGGACATCGACAAGATCTACGTTAGTGGAATAGACAAGGCAGAAGCCTGACTGCAGAGGGTTCAGGAGAGAATATGAGGAGAGAAATTCAAGCCCAAAGGCATAGCCAGTCTTTTGAGGGATTTTTCTGTAAAGGGGAGCCAAGGAATGGATCCAGAGGGAGATGTGGACTCAATCCTTTAGAGAGAAAGAAAATAAAAATCATGAGATATATTTAATGCTATTAAAGATATTAGATAAATACATTTTCTTAAAGTCTTAACATGATTGAACAATAGGGACGTGAATAAAATACCAAGAGTATGCTCTCCATTCTCACTCCATAGAACTGATCAGTAGTTTTCTTTCCAGATGTTACTCCAGCCTAGGTCCTTTGTAAGTTAATAAAAGGAAACCTCCAGGACACCTGGGTGACTCAATGGGTTAAGCATCATCCCACTCTTGATTTTGGCCCCGCCTTGAACTCTGCCCTGGGCATGGAACCTGCTTAGGAATCTCTCTTTCCGTCTCTCTCTCCCTCTCTAAAATTAAACGAATGAATGAATGAATGAATGAATGAATGAATGAATGAATGAATGAATGGAAACCTCCTGTGAAATGAAGGAGGAGGCCAGACGGGAGAGCTCACACACCCTACCACTCTTCCTCAATTGCAGACCCAACACAAAGGTACTTGCAGGTGGTACGACTTTACTAACCCTTAGGGTGTGGGGCTGGAGGGAGGGAGAAAGGTTTTTCTCTCCCCTAGCAACAGCCCAGCCAATGGGAGACTGTCACAGCTCAGCCAATGAGAAGCCACTACACTTTAAACTCCCAGTTTAGACAAAGGAGTTTTAGTTTCTAGCAGCCACTCCCAATCCCCTCTCTCCTGTATAAAACAACATTCTGGGGATCCCTGGGTGGCTCAGGCCCTTGGGTATCCCACTTCGGCTCAGGCCATAGTCTCAAGGTTTGTGAGTTGGAGCCCCACAGTGGGCTCCCTTCTGTCCGCGCAGAACCCACTTCGGATCCTCTGCCCTGTCCTCTCTCTCTCTGCCCCTGCAGCACTCACACTCTCTCAAAAATGAATAAACTTTTTTTTTTTAAGTGTTTTTTTTTTTTCTTTGTTCTCCACACCTGTCTATGGTTTTGCTGTCTGCTGTGTCTCAAAATTGCAACTCTCGGCTGTTTCCAAATATACCCATTTTGCTGGTAAGATAAGTGAGGTTTGTTTTTTTTTTCAACGTTTATTTATTTTTGGGACAGAGAGAGACACAGCATGAACGGGGGAGGGGCAGAGAGAGAGGGAGACACAGAATCGGAAACAGGCTCCAGGCTCTGAGCCATCAGCCCAGAGCCCGACGCGGGGCTCGAACTCACGGACCGCGAGATCCTGACCCGGCTGAAGTCGGACGCTTAACCGACTGCGCCACCCAGGCGCCCCAAGATAAGTGAGTTTTATTTTTAAGGTTAAGGCAGAACCGAGGCTGCCTGAAGAGGGGAACTGGTAGTTAGGGAGGTTAGTCCTTGGGCAGAATTCCAGCCTCCCAGTCACTGCTTTTCCTTCTGCAGGCTCAGTGCCTTCATTCCCTCTTGAAGAGCTCACTACAACTGCCATCCCCTTACCAACCGCCCCACTCCCCCCTACCTTTCCCAGCTTCTCTTACTCCGCGTCTTTCCAAGGCCTTGACCTTCGCCTCTCACTTGTTCTTCTGGCTGCTGACTTTTCACGGTCCCGAGGATATTGTGGAAAATATTTGCATCACAGCAACCTTACTCAGCTTTCCCTAGTCCCAGTGGGCCACCGGATGCAAACTGGAAACCGCTGCTCCCAAGGATGTTGCCCCTGAAGCTGCCCCAAGATCAAAGCGGAAGGCCGCTCTGCGTGATGGAGAAGCCGGGGGTGCAGCCCTGCAGGCAGGCAGGCAGGCAGGCAGGCAAGCAGCCAGGCCCCAAAGGGTAGAACCCTGCCCGCTGCGCGAGGAAGCATGAGGTCAGGGACCCAGCCAGGAAAAAAATAAGCCCCAAAGGCTGACTTTCAAACCAAAAGCCTCTTTATTTCAATGTTCAAATAGCCGGTTCTCTGTAGTTGCGGTTCTCCGGTGCGTGACCAGCGGGAACCTTAAGCCCAAAGCCCTGCCCCGCCCTGGCCACATGCAGCTGCCTCAAATTCCACCCCCATTCTTCTCCTCCCCACTCAAGTGCCTTCACTTACATTCAGCAACACCCCATAGCAGCTAGGAGCTGTGTTCCCCTCTGTCAGTTTCCGCTGGACCAAACACGGAGGCCGGAGTGCATGGCGTAGGTTTGTGCCCAGCGCAGTAACAACCCGGCTGCTGCTGTTTGGGGAGCCTGGGAGGCTCCAGCCTAGTCCCGAGGCCCAGGGCGGCCGCCGCAGGGAGAAGCCCCGGTCTCCGGGTCCCCGCCGTAGGGAGGCCGGGCCTGTCTCCTGCCGGAGGAGGAAGAAGCGGGCGGCCCGGGCGCCACCTCTTTCCTCTTGGGGGAGGGCGCTGGCATCCTCGCGGCCGCGGCTCGGGGGCTCCCGGAGTCCCGGAACTCCTCCCAGGGCCGGCGCACTTGAACTCCGGGAGTTGGCCCAGCACCTCGCCCCGCCGTCCTGCCAGTCTCCGTCCCAGTGCGGAGCGGCCCGCCGGCGCGATGCTGGCGCTGTGGCTGGTGGGCCTGGGGCAGAAGCTGCTGATCTGGGGCGCGCTGGGCGCCGTCTCCGTGGCGGGAGCCACTCTTCTCCTGAGCCTCCTGCAGATGGTGGCGAGGTGCGCGCGGCAATGGCAGCAGATGAGGGGCCTCCCCACGTTGCCCGGCTGCTACCCCTTGGTGGGACACGCGCTGATGATGAAGCCAGAGGGGAAAGGTAAGAGACGCGGGGGCCGGTGGGCTTCCTAGCCTGCGCGGACCCGCCAGCAGGAAGGCCCAGGGTGCAGGAGCTTCCCCGCCCCCCCACCTCCCCCCTACCCGCCCCGGGCTCAGCCGGGTCCGCACCTGCTCCCCGCCAGCCCCCCTTCTCATCAGCCTAGAGCACCACGACTTGAGGGCCGCTTTGGAGAAACAAGAATCTGTCCCCTGCTGGAGAGCGGGTTCCCAGTTCTATCCGGTTTGCCCTTACGACCCCTGATAAAATTGCTCCTGCCTCTGTTTCACATCAAGTTTTTCTTTATGTATAGGCTGGAACGCAGTATGTGTAAGCTGTCCTTCTAACTCTTCTCTTCTTTTCCCGCTTGGGAGCTGTTCCTATCTGTAAACACTGCCTGTCTGCTTTCTTGGCTGTTAAAGCCTAAGAGCAGAAACTTCCCTGGAGCGGGGAATGCACCTGAAAACAGTCCCATCATCCTCCACCCACCCACTGCCCTCCGAAAATCAGGGACTAGAGATTTCATCTGAGGCTTCCCTCCCTCCCCGCATCACAACATTTGACCACAACTTTCTAGCCTTCTTGACCTTCTTATTTGAGTTCTTTTAAGGAGGTTAGGTGATAACAGTGAACTAGGAGGGCAGGGCCGTCTGGCGAACTTAACACACCAGGTTTTAAAAGACTTATTTATGAAACAGTGCATTGTTTTTGTTTTTTGTGTTTGTTTCTTGTTTTTGTTAGGTTTCATGGATGAGGGGAAAAATCACTGTGAGTGAGAAAGTTCTCAGAAGCACGTGGTTTTACAGTCTCCCATCAGAGACAGTGAATTAGATCTTAGCACTCCGTTTTCATGGGTGTGCAAATGGGGATACCCAGGGTTCAAAAGATTTGCCCCAAATGACAGGTTCTAAAATGAGCCTAGGACCACAATCCAGTTTCGCCTCAGATTAATTGTAAATAGCAGTTTTACAAGTTGAACATTAACTCCAAAACTTGAAGTATTATTTCTTTTCTAGCCCTCCCCTCCCCCCACCCCTAACCCTCATGCTATCATTGCATCCTCACGGAAATAGATAAGGCCTCATGGGGCGGGAGTGACCTGGGGGGTGTTTACCAAAATATCGAAAATGTTCCCTGGCAGAAGAAATCCAAGTTAACCTTTCACCAATTAAACATCAACGTGACTAATGTTACAAGTTATCCAATACCGCATCTCGATGTCTGGGAATCGTGTTTGTAGAAATCATCTAGGTGGAAACTAAGAGCAGAGCTAACCTCTCCTTCTACCCTGAGACTTCATAGCATTAAAGAGTCACTGTGTGTTGGGGCGCCTGGGTGGCGCAGTCGGTTGGGCGTCCGACTTCGGCTCAGGTCACGATCTCGCGGTCTGTGAGTTCGAGCCCCACGTCGGGCTCTGGGCTGATGGCTGATGGCCGATGGCTCGGAGCCTGGAGCCTATTTCTGATTCTGTGTCTCCCTCTCTCTCTCTGCCTCTCCCCCGTTCATGCTCTGTCTCTGTCCCAAAAATAAATAAACGTTGAAAAAAAAATTAAAAAAAAAAAAAAAAAGAAGAGTCACTGTGTCGATATATAGGGCATCATATTCTTTTGGGAGTTTATTCTAAACATTGAAATCTCTAGCGAATGAGACCTGTTTCAAAATAAACTTGTGAGTCGATTGGAATATTTAAAGCAAGTCTCCCTGGAGTTACTTTCTAAGTGAAAAGAGTGACAACACACTGGCTTTGACGAAGGGGCTTTTTAATCCATCCACAAGTACTGGGTTTTGGCATCAGGCAAAGCTTTGCTCCGTTTCCGGCGTTGCAACCGAGCTGTTTTAATTTGAGGAGTTGTTTGAAACTCTCTAAAGGGGAAAGAGCAAGAGGAGAACTCCAGCAACGGCCAGAAGACATCGAACAAAATGGCAGTATCGACAATTTCTTGAACTGTAAATGGACTGAATCCTCCAATAAGAGCACATAGTGTGGCTGCATGGATAGGAAAACAAGACCCGTTTTTATGCTGCTTACAAGAGACTCGCTTCAGACATAAGGACACACACAGACTGAAAGCGAAGGGTTGGAAAACGATGTTCCACGCAAATGGAAACCGAAAGAAAACTGGGAAGCTACCCTTACACCAGACAAAATAGAGTTTAAAACGATGACTGAAATAAAAGACCAACAGCGTATTCATGATAATAAAGGGGTCAATCCAATAAGAAGATACGGCATTTATAAGTGTAAATGTACCCAACACAGAAGTACCAAGATGTGTAAAGCCAATATTAAAATTTTCTAAGTTAGAGTTTTTACCCTTAACTTGTAAGTTAATTGTATGACAGTTATTTTAAGGATTAAATTCAATGCATGCTATTTCCAGATCGCTGTCTGGAGCTCGGTTAGAGTAAGTTCCTTAACTGTCAGTCAAACACGGGGCCCTCCCTGGAGTCCAACATTGGGCTAAACAAAGTGGCTGGTGTCAGAATAGTCCAAGATATGTTGCTTGTTCTCATTGACCTTGTCTCTTAGGCAGGAGGCTGTGCTTCTGATTTTGTGGCCACTGTTCAAACTCCAGCCTCAATAATCTCACCTGGAGTTCTGCCCTTGACTTTCCATTGGCGTTTCAAACCAATTTCTTGCTTTTTTAGTCCATTATGTCAACACCTGCCTGCCCTAACTGTTCTCTGATATCGGACCTGTTACCTTCCAACCACAGGCTCAGATTTCCCTGTCTCCTCTATCAGGTCACACAAGGCAGGAAGTTATCGTGAGACATGGCATTCTGACACCGTTGACTTGACCCAGCTCTTCTCGTAGCAATTTTGACAACCATTTAGACCAGGCGACATTTGAAAGCAATATGGCGTAATGGTCAAGATGGAGCCCTGTAGTGTCTTACCGCCTTAAGTACAAAGCCAGGTTCCATCATGTACTCTCTGTGATAGTGGGCAAGTTTCATCAATTGTGACAGTAATCATGCCTTTCATTTAACTATGGTGAGGTGTAAAAGACAGTGCATCAAAAACGCTAACTCTAGCTCAGACATAGAATAACTTGCTGCTGTAGGGGCGCCTGCGTGGCTCAGTCGGTTAAGCGTCCGACTTCGGCTCAGGTCACGATCTCGCGGTCCGTGAGTTCGAGCCCCGCGTCGGGCTCTGTGCTGACCGCTCAG